GCCCCGCCAACCCCACGGTGACCCGCAGCCTCGCCTGTTAGACAACGACCACTCCTCAGTCCCCCCCGGTGGCGTCTCCCCCGGTGAGCTGCACGTTTGCCACCGCGGGTTTGGCACCTCCTGGAAAGCTGTGGAACCGATGCAAGGCCTCCCCCCAACCCTCTACCCATGGTCTGGACCCAGACCGCACTGAGAGAACCTGGCCAAGGAATGGGTTTATGTGACCGGAAGGCTATTAGATGGCTGCGCTCTGGACACTAAGTTCAGAGCGCAGAGCCGTGTGCAGTGGAGTTCGGAGGAGCTCGGCCCTCCGCCTGGCCTGGCTCTGCGTGTATACATCTCTCCCCAGCAGCCCTGCCTGTCTGTCCAGCAGGCCCCCTGCAACACCCAAGGCCTGTGTTTTGTCTGAGACCTCTGTCCTCTGTCCTGTTCTCTCTCCCCCCTTAGCGCTGGGTCGTCCTCTACAAGTACTCACGAGTCTTAAGCTACATTTTCGCACAGGGGAAGCATCTAAAAGGGCTAAGCCACAGAAAGGTGTAAGCAGCTTCTGGTTTCATCCACCTGACAGAGAAGACAGCAAAGAGTGAACCCCTTGGTGATGGAATTCCAATGTGGAATTCCGAGTCTGACCACAGAGGGATGAGAAGGCTATCTTGATGAATCTTAAGTAAGCCCTCTGCCTCCCGGGCAGGAGATGACCTTCCTGCTTGAATACAGTGCATTACAGAACAATAAGGCCGCTGGAAAACCCACGGGGGGCCAGACTCCAGAATGTTTTGAATTTTAGAAAAAATATGTGGTGCATATACTGCATGTTATGTAACATTCTGTAGCAGCAGCACCTCCCCATAGTCAAATCCACCAGTTCTGATTTCTGCAGCAAAACATACATACATGCATGAGGGACAAATAAAGAGCATGAAGTCCCATCTGGTTTTTGTCAAGAATGAGTTTTGATGACAAACTGATGGAAGAAGCGTGTTTCAGCACGGTTTAGAATCAGGTATCCTGAAGAAGGGATTGTGGAGAAAGCAAAGGCAGAGATGCTGATTAACTGCCCCCCCTCCACTGTGCCCCCGTCCCCCACAAGTGTTGATGCCTGGAAAGATGCATTGTCCTGGCTTCCCCAGGATCCCATGAGCTTGAGTGGGGGGTGGGGGCGGGCAGGGTTCTCAGATGGAAATAGCATCTTTACTGGAACACTAAAGAAGGGGGTACCGACTTGGGATTCAGATCATTTCTGAGACCTGTAAACAGAACGATTTTCCCCAGTCTTCTGATTTGGACAAATGAATAACTGGTCTGTGGATCAGATTTTGTCCACAGACTCTCCCAGGGGGGTTGGTGCCAGCTGGTCGTTCAATCCAGGAGTCATTCGGACCCTTGGTTATGGGTTCCTGAAACGCCTGGCTCTCTTTGAATACCAGATGCTGCTCCAATTTATGGAAGAAACCTGGACAGCCAAAACAATTTCTCTTTAGGACAGTTGGCAGAGAAGCTGTGGCATTGGTGCCTTGGAGGGAAGCGGACAAGGAATTAGAATGAACTCTAACCACTCTTCATATCTGCCTTTCTCTTTCTTTCCAGGAAGCAACCAGTATGTGTGCAGAACTTAAACATTTGCCAGAAGCATTGAAAGTAGTCCTGAACTGGAATTCCCAACTGCAACAAAAATTGCTAAGTCATCTCGGGCAAGTTACTTGCCTTCTCTCAGTTTCAGTCTCTTCAAGCATAAAATAAGAATACCTACTTTTCTGGGTTGTTTGGGGGATTAATGAAATAAGTGAGGGTGCCTAAAACCAGTGTTTGTCCCATAGAAGGTGCTCAATAGATGCTTAGTTAAGTTGTTCAGTCATGTCCAACTCTTTGTGACCCCGTGGACTGCAGCACGCCAGGCTTCCCTCTCCATCACCAACTCCTGGAGCTTGCTCAGACTCATGTCCATCGAGTTGGTGATGCCATCCAACCATCTCATCCTCATNCCCTGATGGCTCGGTTGGTAAAGAATCCACTTGCAATGCAGGAGACCCTGGTTCGATTCCTTTGTCAGGAAGATCCGCTGGAGAAGGGCTAGGCTACCCACTCCAGCATTCTTGGGCTTCCCTTGTGGCTCAACTGGTAAAGAATTCGTCTGCAATGCGGGAGACCTGGGTTTGATCCCTGGGTTGGGAAGATTCCCCTGGAGAAGGGAAAGGCTACCCACTCCAGTTTTCTGGCCTGAAGAATTCCATGGACTGTATAGTCCATGGGGTTGAAAAGAGTCAGACACGACTGAGCGACTTTCACTTTCATTATTATTTCAGTGGAGGCACAGAAATTCAGTGAGAGTCTGTGCAGGGAGCAGGTTCATTAGTGGCATTACTTGCTCCTCTGGCCTCTTCCACATGCCCTGCAGCAAGGCCAGACTGACAAATAATAATAACAACCACCACCCCAGGAGGTGCAGTGGGGGGACAGAACTGACCTCCAGGCTGTAAGATTTTAATACAGACAGTCTCTAGTTTCCCCTCTAGGGGCTTCCCTGGTGGTTCAGACAGTGAAGAATCTGCCTGCAGTGCGGGAGACCCTGGTTCGATCCCTGTGTTGGGAAGATCCCCTGGAACAGGAAATGGCAATCCACTCCAGTATTCTTGTCTGGAGAATCCCATGGACAGAGGAGACGGGCGGGCTTCAGTCCATGGGGTCACAAAGAGTCAGACATGACTGAGTGATTAACACTAGACTAGAATTCCCCTCTAGGGGCCAAACAGATGCCCCCTGCAACACTCCCTGCATTTCTAATGTACCCCAGACCCCGGAGGCTCAAATGTAAGAGACCACCTATGCTGTTGGCTATGAGAGGAAGCTAGAAGACCTGGACTGGAGAATCCTGTTCTGCCTCCACTGCCTTTGTGAACTTGGACACGGTTCTTAACCTTTCTGAGCTTCTGATTCTTCATCAGCCCTATGATACCACTTCCTTGCAGGTTTGTTGTAAAAATTCTATAGAATAGTTCATGGGAAATGCCCAGCGTGTTGTAAGTACTGGAAAACATTGGCCTGGTGCTGGATGAATTCTACGGACAAATGAGCAAATGCTCGTCGACACTATTCACGTAAAGCCGGGTCCTCCCACCTCCCACCTTTGAGATTCGTTCATTTAGGCCCCGTTTCCTGCTTGGTCCCTTAGCTCTGGCAAACCCACAGTACTCCTTCAATTCCTCTCTTACTTTCCAGACTGCACACTTTCTAGAAGCCACTGCTCCATGCCCAAGAAAGTCGGGTTGGAATTCTTCAGGAGGACCGGCGTGCAGACCCCAGCGAAGACCAGAGCCCTGCCTTCCTCTTCCAGGCCTCCGAGTGCCTGAGAAGGGGCTCACAAGGGACATCAAGGGTCACCAACTTGGGAGTTCCAGGCAAGGGAGAGCGGGGAAGGTCTTCCAGCTCAAGGAAGAGCCTGGATTTCCTGGTGTGCCTCCTCCCACAGGTGGTGCCCGGGCAGCGCTCGTGGTGCCCGGGCAGCGCTCAGAGCGCCCAGGGAGGAGGCCTCTGGCTGTTGACAGCTGGTGCCTCCACACCTGGCAGAGAGGGGCCCAAGAGCTCATGCCTTCACGGGTGGACCAGATCCTTGAAAGGGCTTCTTGCCAGAGGGATGCTCTTCTGGTCCAGGGCACCCTTCAAGCCAGCCAGGCTCTCAGCTCTCTGTCCCCTTTGTGGGTAACCAGGGTGTCTCTTGTCCTTGCAAGCTCCCAGCCTTCTAGCCCCACAGGATGACATACCCAGGCCTCTTCCCTCTGAGGTCCCTCCAGGGTCGCCCCCTAAAGGAGACACCATGCATAATAGATACTCTGCACATTCTGGCCCCTAGGGCCCTGCCCTCCCGTCTTGTCCCAGGCTATCAGGCCCTGCTTCTTCGGCCCTGTGGCAGTTTTCAACACATTCACCTACCTTCTCTCCTCTCCTCTGACTGGAAGCTGATTAATCTGGGCTAGTTGCTGGCATGATTTAATGACCTCGCACTCCACACGCACTCAGCACTTCTGACAACATATTTCAGCACACCCTTTCCAGTCCCAGCTTCAGGCTCAGAGAAGCTTGGCCTTGCTATAGCCTCTAAGGTCCACTAGAGGGCAGCTCTGCCTATGTTTCCTGGCAGGCCCAGGGAGCATCCGTCCCTAAATTCCTGGATAGGTCATTCCACTGTGTCATCCACTACTCCACTTTCTTCCACTCATATTAACTCACTTAAACAGAGACACTTTTCCTGAGCCTCTGACCCAGCATTTTTACTCTGGCTACATAACAGTCACCTGGAGAGCTTTAAAAACAAACAGAAAGGACTTCCCTGGTGGTCCAGTGGTTAAGAATCCACCTGCCAATGCAGGGGACACGGGTTCAATCCCTGGCCCAGGAAGATCCCACATGCTGTGGAGCAACTAAGCCTGTGCACCACAGCTGCTGACCACGTGCTGCAAGAACTGAAACCCTTGCACCCTAGAGCCTGTATTCCACAACAAGGCCCCTGAAATGGGAAACCTGCTCACGGCAACTAAAGATTAATCCCTGGAGGGGTGGGATGGGGTGGGAGGTGGGAGAGAAATTCAAGACGGAGGGCTGATACCTATGGCTGATTCATGTTGATGTATGGCAGAAACCGACACAATATTGTAAAGCACAATTAAAAATAAGTACATTTTAAAAAAGGAAATACAATAGTCTAGAAATCTTGAAGTTATATTTTCAGTTTTTTAATTTCTCAAAATAAAGGCATTTGAGAACTTTGAGGAAAAAAAACATGAGTAGCCACCACTTGTCACAACTAGAGACAGCCCTTGTGCAGCAATGAAGACCCAGTGTGCCCCGAAATAAAAAAACAAAACATAGATGCAATAGCTTCACACCAAACCAATTAAATAAGTATTGCTAGGTGTGGGAGGCCAGCACAGGTAATTTCATTTTACTTTAAATGTATTTATTTATTTGGCTGCACCAAGTTCTTAGTGGTAGCATGTGGGATCTAGCTCCCTGACCAGGAATCGCACCTGGGCCTCCTGCTTTGGGAGAACAGAGTCTTAGCCACTGGACCATCAGGGAAGTCTCTGGCATGAGTAATTTTTAAAAGCTGCCCTGGGACTTGCCGAATGGTTCAGTAGTTAAGAATCTGCCTTCCAATGCAAGGGATGATTGGGAAACTAAGATCCCACATGCCTCAGGGTAAGCCCTGGAAGAGCCTGCATGCTCAGTCACTTCAGTTGTGTCCAACTCTTTGCGACCCCGTGGACTGTAGCCCACCAGGCTCCTCTGTCCATGGGATTCTCCGGGCATGAATACTGGAGTGGGTTGTCATGCCCTCCTCCCAGGGATCTTCCCCAACCAGGAATCGAACCCGAGTCTCCTGCATCTCCTGCATTGCAGGCAGATTCTTTAATGCTGAGCCACCAGGGAAGCCCTGAAGGGCCTGCATGCCTCAGCAAAAACCCAGTGCAGCCAAAAGTTATTTTAAAAAATTAAAAAGTAAAGTAAAAAAAAGCAATCAATCAATTGAAAGCTTCCCTGTGTTTCTAATCTATTTCCCAGGCTGAGACACACTGCAGTCTTTTAACCCATCCATGTAGTTATCTTTTAACTTCTGGGATGTAACCCCCTAAAATTTTTTTTCCCACCCTTGGGCAGGGACCATGTTAAAAGAGACAGAATGGAACAGCACTAATCAGAGAAGCCAAACCTCATCCTTCCGAACATACCAGGTTGCTAAGAGTGGAGGTGAGATGGCTCTGTTCACTTGCACATCTGTAATGTAGGCATTCTAAATAAGTATAACTTCTGTCAGAAAAAAATACAGTAAGCACGTAAGTGAATATATCAAAATACTGAGAATAAATGACCCATAGAGGAAATAAACTCAGTCTGGAAACCATTTCCTCTTCCCCAGGGCTGACATCTGGCGGGGGCTTCCAGAATGCCACATCCTAGCATTTCTCAGAGACACAGAAAGGACTTTGTGTCTGGCTCTGATATGAAAGTGAAAAGTGAAAGTGAAAGTGAAGTCGCTCAGTCGTGTCCGACTCTTTGGACTCTTTGCTGGACTCTTTGCGACCCCATGGACTGGAGCCCACCAGGCTCCTCCATCCATGGAATTTCCTAGGCAAGAATACTGGAGTGGGTTGCCATTTCCTTCTCCAGGGGATCTTGTCAACCCGGGGACCGAACCCAGGTCTCCCGCATTGTGGGCAGACGCTTTACCGTCTGAGCGACCAGGGAATCTGATACAAAATCCATCCTAAAGGAAATCAGTCCTGAATATTCATTGGAAAGACTGCTGCTGAAGCCGGAAACTCCGATACTTTGGCCACCTGGTGTGAAGAACTGACTCATTTGAAAAGACCCTGATGCTGGGAAAGATAGAAGGCGGGAAGAGAAGGGGACGACAGAGGATGAGATGGTTGGATGGCATCACCAACTCAGTGGACATGGGTTTGGGTGAACTCCGTGAGTTGGTGATGGATAGTGAGGCCTGGTGTGCTGCAGTCCATGGGGTTGCAAAGAGTCAGACACAACTGCGTGACTGAACTGAACTGAACTGATATGAAGACTAGAAATCTCTTCTTCCCCCAACAGTGCAACTTATCCCTTCACCCCAACTTAGAGAGATGTAGAGGGGGGAAGTGCTTGCCCTCAAAGCATAAAGGTCGAGGACATCAGCCACTATTAAGGGGGCTGACCCCTCGTCATTGAAATTGGCGTTAATTGTTCCAGTTTCTGTAGATAAGCACTCCCTTTACCTTCATTTGCTCTCTTGAGATAGTACTTGAGTGGTACTGGGTTTAAATCCCAGTCCACCACTTACTTCACCTCTCAGCTCCTCAGTTACCTCATCCAGATAAGGGGATAAGAATAGCATATAACTCATCTAGTTATTGTGAAGAAGGGATGAAAAAAGGCATGGAAATCACTTAATATCTGGGACAATGCTATGTACTAATAATGCTAATAATAACAATATTTTTGTTAATTTTAGAGAATTTTTATTATTATTAGTTTACAAATGAGTAATCTGAGGTCTAGAGCTTGGCTTGCTGGCAGTGAAACAAAGATTAGAAGTAGGTATGTCTGAATTTGGGCTTCCCTGATAGCTCAGCTGGTAAAGAATGTGCCTGCAATGCAGCAGACCCTAGTTCAGTCCTGGGTTGGGAAGATCCCCTGGAGGAGGGCTTGACAACCCACTCCGGTATTCTTGCCTGGAGAATTCCCATGGACAGAGGAGGCTAGTGGGCTACAGTCCATGGAGTTGCAAAGAGTCGGACTTGACTGAGCGACTAAGCACAGTGCATGTCTGACTTTTCACATCTACACTGGGTTCTCATTAGACAGTAGGTCTCAGACACATCCAGGGGCTTCCTTGGGTTGGCCCAGCTGTCCATCTGGGGCTGACCATCCCACCAGTGGCAGCTCAGAGTTGGAATGAGAGAGGTGACCCTGAGGAGACGGCTCTCCAGGAGGGATTCCCCCTCTTTCTTTTACAGATGAGCGACGGGAAGACACTTGGCTTCTGCCATACCTGGTGGGTGTCAGAGCCAGAACTAAGATCTGGATCCTTGACTGAAGATCCAGTCCCTTAACCTTTCCATTCTATCTGAGGATGTCTAACTTCAGACTTGGAGCCTCTAATAACTTCCCCCTTCCTTCTTTTCATGGCAAAAGAAGAAGGTGGCAGAGGATGAGATGGTTAGATAGCACCACTGACTCAACGGCATGAATTTGAGCAAACTCCAAGAGTTAGTGGAGGACAGGGGAGCCTGGCATGCTACAGTTCATGAAATCACAAAAGATTCAGACATGACTAAACAACAACAACAAAGTACATCTAAACAACAACAACAACAAAGTGCATCCATTGGTGGAATGGTCAGCCCCAGGTAAGAGCTGGGCCCCACGCTGGGCCCGCTGGTAAACGCGACACACACAACTTCATCAGCTGCAACTGCCACTGTCATGCCCATTTTACAGATGCGCAGTGGAGGCTCAGGCTGGTGAAGTGTGGCCTGTCCACAGTCATTCAACTGGTACCTGGTGAGGCCAGGATGGTCCAACTCCAGAGTGAATGTCCCTAACCACTGCACCACCCTGCCTCTCCTGTGCAGGACCCATAGTTAGAACACCAGATACATGGGAATTGCTCTGTGGGTTGGAGCTTTGATAGATAGTCATCACTAATAGACGTGAAGACCTTTCCCAGGTCACCTGGTAAAGCATTTGGTTGGACATGTGTGCTGTGTCGCTTCAGTAGTGCCTGACTCTTTGCAACTCTGTGGACTGTAGCCCGCCAGGCCCCTCTGCCCATGGGATTCTCCTGGCAAGAATACTGGAGTGGGTTGCTGTGCCCTTCTCCAGGGGATCTTCCCGACCCAGGGGCCAAATCTGTGTCGTGTTTCTTAGTCTCCTGCATTGGCAGGCAGGGTCTTTTACCACTAAGGCCACCTGGGAAGCTTCAAAATATTTGGGGACCGGGCCATTTGATAACCCACACCTTCTGTGGGCAGCATTTAGCTGAAGAACTAGGCAGTGCTGGAAGAGTTACAGAGACCCTTAGCCACAGATTCCATGGTCAGTCCTTGCAGTCCAGGAGATCAATGTACTCCACACCCTTGGCTCCTCCATGCTGGTGCTGGTGGTTTCAGACACCAACCTGTAGACAACCCCTCAGACAATTTTAAGAAGTCTAGAGTCTGCAGGCTGAGCGTTTATAGCAATGCAGTTACAGCTGAGGGCAAGCTCTCCTCACAGCCTTCGGACTCTCCCACCCACCGCTACCACCACCATGGCCAAACAGATTTTAGGACAACCCACTGCAAGAGACAGAGCTGTTCCATTCTACTGGTCAACAGTGCAAATATGCGGCCAACCAAAGGGGAAGTCTAGCAACCTCACCAACCCTGGCTGCTTGTAAGGACCAGCTCTACCCCGATGAAGGCCAGGTAGGGGTTACCACCACACGTGAATTGGATTGGGTCTTGGCTTACACACACACACACACACACTCACACACATACACATACACACACAGGATTCAGAATCAACATCCAGCCTTTCCCCACTGGAACTTAGTTGGGTGGAGATGATGGATCCAGGCCACCATGGATAATGCACCAAACTGATAATCTGCTTATGTATAATTGAGCTTATTGTTAGTGTCACTGTCTAAAGCCATTGGCTGAAATTCCCAATAGACTTCCAAGGGAGAGGAAGGCTCTTCTGGAAAAGCCGCTCTCACGGCATTCCCCATTCTCTGGTTCTCCAGTGAGCGAGTGCAAAGAACCTACACACCTTATTTGGTTCCTTCGCTGGACCTGTCCTCCCCCGCTCCTTCCCACCCCACCTCCCAACACACATCACACCTGGAGACGCAAAGAAGGAGGAAATTCAGAGCAGAAGGGTTTCAGGAAGTCGGGACCCTCCCTGCCTTTCCCAGCCTTGGCAGGTAAACTACTCCGGGCCACTCAGGTGTCCCGACAGAAGCAGCTCTGGTTCAAGGTCTTGAATCAGCTACGGCAACCTCAAATCTTCTGGAAATGTTCTTCCACCCCAGCCCTGCTTCCTCCTCATGGAGGCCCTGTCTGGAGAATGACCAGACTGCATTTCCTCCTGGAGAAATGATTAAGCAACCCATTCCTGTCCGCCGAGCGGAGTCCTGGACTTGAGAGGATCCTGCTGCTGCTGAAAGGAGGCCTGGCGCCCAGCACAGCTAAGGACAGCCCCAACCAGCCAGGGCTGGCTCTCCACAAAACTCTGGTAAGGAGGTGAGGGGAATGGCTGGTCCAGGAGACGCCCAGGAGCAGAAGCCCTGGGCAGGACCAGCTGCTGGGTTGTGAGAAGTAAGGAGCCTCAGGTAGATGGAGGTGGTGGGGAGTAGGTGGGAAGGCAGGGGGCCAGGTCTTCCTCATGGGGGAGGCAGCTCCCCTCCACCCTCAGGCACCCAGTCCTTGAAGGAGACGTTTACCTCCTGGGAGACACCTGCTCAGACCCCTAGGCCCACCCAGAACTCCATCTGCAACCACCAATGCCCCCTCACAGTCTGCCATACTCCTCAGGAAGCC